ACATATACTGTGCTGTCATTTGTAAAAAGTGATGGATGAGAAACTGGAAACCTCAAGGAATTAGTAATAGGATATAAAGCATTTCACCTCTGGGTCACCAGTTCAAATTCAACCAGGTTGGTAGTGACCAAAAGTAGTTACCATCTGGCAGCTGTTCTCTGGCTGATGTAAATTGAGTTGAGGGTCTCAGCGCATTTCCTAGTGGACAGGTGTCCTCAGCACAAAAAAACACCATAATTAACTCTCTGTTTGGCTTGCTCAGCAAAGCCACTGAACAACGAATAGAAGTAAAGTCTAAACTGTATTCCAGCTTAGAATGGAAGCATGTTGGCTGCAGAGCACTGCAGAGTCTTAATTATAATTCCTCTTTATATTTTAAGACACACAGATTAGGGAGGGATTTCATTCATCATCATTATATTAAAGAGAGTAGCATTTCCAACTCAAGATAGAGTTTATGTGCTGCTATTTCTGCTCACTTCAGATTTCCTTTCAACATGCAGCTACAGCAGAGTTTGGAATCGCAATGAATGAATGTGAAGTATATGGATATTGTTAAAAATAGTAAATTTACCCTAACAAACTCAATCTCAAAAAATCCACACTTATTACAGAGGACAGGGACACAGAAAAAAACTCGTAGATTTGGATTATTTCATACAAACATATTAGTTAAGATTATGCAACTTTGGAAAATAGAGGAGACTTACCGTAAAGAAAACAAAGATGTCACCCTTCAAGTCAACAACACCAATGAAAGAGGTTTTGGGGAAGACTACTACCCACACTTGTTACAAGACTTTTTAAATGGACTTTGCATTCAAAAATTCTGACTCGTGACTCTTAAGAAACAAACAAGAAACAGTTTTAGGAAGAACTGCATGTGCCCAAGCTTCAAATGTTATGTGTGAAAAACACTGGAAAAAAAAATTCACTTATGCCAAGTTTTCCTCAACAGGAACTGGAAAATTTAATGAGCCTACTTATGGATCATCCATACTTTGCACAAGACATGGGACCAGTTGTGCACAGTATGACTTGCTGATAGGCACCATCTAAACCATCTGTTGCTGAAATTTTTTTGGCTCTACTATATCTAATATTGTTAAAATAGGTATAGTTACTGGATGTCCTTGCTCATTTTGGCATTTGTGGAATAAAGGCAACTGAAACAAAATTAAAGCATTCCATATCATCAGTCTTACAAAACAGAAGGGTATTTCTTCAACATAAGTGGTTTGTAGAGACTGAGCTGAGGACTACTGGTATTAAACCGAGAAGAGTGTTAAAACTGCAGTTCTAGAGAAGAGCTAGAACTACTAAAAGCTGTGTTTTACCACCTTGGGTAAAACACAGCCAGAGCTCACAGGTTGCTAGAACACAGCATTTGGGGCTGAGGGGTTTGAGGCAGTTTAAGCAGTAGCTGACTTTGAAATGTTCTTAACACGCCTTCAGATAACATTAACTTTAAATAAACTTGCTGAATACTCATGTAAATTATTTCCATTTGGCTGTCTCATTATTCAATATGCTTTCAAGGAACATGGTGATGAAAGAAGAAAAATACCTCTTTCTAACATAACCATACTGGCAAGAGGATCAACATTATCAGTATTCAAAGAATGTCTTGGCAGGATAAACCTTCATAAAAAGAAGGAGCACTAGCTAATCCAAGTTGTCAAAATAGAATAGTACCTCAAGGGTTGATCTGCAAAGTGATTCATTATTTATTGCTAATGCAAACAAAACATTCTGAGCAGAAAGAGCAATTGAGTGTTTCCTATCTTGGAAAGGCACTGATAGAAAGTCCACAATAAATAAATCTGTGGAGGAATACAGAATATCTATTTTCTTATCCATTAAAAATCAACCAAAGGCTGGAAGAGAATTGTCTTATTTCTTTTCTGTGAAGAACCACACTTAATGGCAATCAGTATTTTCCAAAATAACACAGACATAAAACATAGGAAGAAGAAAAAGTTTCTGGGAATTTGATTCAAAAGCCTAAGACACACACTTCTTGAAAAAATTCAATCAGATACGGTGGAAATTCAACATGCAATGTAGCATGCATCCTAAAACCATCTATATTTCAACAGCTCAGTAAGAGCCCTGACTTGCCAAAATAAGTTTCTGCTGGAATCAATCAGGCAACCATCTTCAGATGCCTAACCTCAGATACTTTATGTCAGCTTCAGCATTACTGCATTCTTCCCCAGTAAAGCCAGGGCTATGCTTTCACAGAATCACAAAATGGTCTGGGTTGAAGGGACCTTGCAGATCATCTGGGTCCAATTCCCCAGCCATGGGCAGGTTTCTCAAGACCAGTTGCTCAAACCTCATACAACCCACTATTTTCCTTCAACTTCATATAACATACAGGATTAAAAACTGGAGGGATTTGGTTTTTCTGGGGGAGGGTTGTTTTTAGCTTTGTTTTCTGGTGTGGCTTTTTTAAAAAAAGTATCGATTTTGTAATTTATTTTAAAAACTTCCTTGAATACATTTTTATTTACCCTTTTTTCACTTACTATCTTTTCTAGTCTTTCAATACATCTTTCCTTGTCTCCTTCTGTAATAGCTCATCTCTGCTATCTTCTTGCCCTTTTAAGCCCAGGAACCTGATTGTACCCTCAACGTGTATCTTCTTCCATTGCAACAGAAAGTGCTGGTTCAGCCTCAAGAATTTGGGATTCTAAGTCCTCTGAATAACTGCATATACAATTTGTCTTTTAAATGAGCACATTATCTATGAGCTACATAAAAAATAAAGCTATTCTAAGAAGTTGATTCTTTCTCCTAGTACATTTCTTACAAAAATATAACACATACACAAATAAAATCACCAAGAACACTATTCAGCAGAGTATTACTATAGCACAAATATGCTGTAGTGTCTGTATGGAAAAAAACACTTTCCTGATCCAAATTAGCAATTGTAATGACAACAATATTTAGCATATAAAGGCAAAAGAAATAAAGGATGTTCACATTCTGTAATAAAGTAAAACAAATGCACCATTGACCTACTGCAAGTTGCTACACACTGAAAATTCAGAATTTCAAATCTTTTAAAAGGTATGATACAACAGGTGACATTTCAGTTTGCACAGAATGCCAATGGCAGTAGAAAAACAGGAATCTTAATTCAAATTTTATGAAGTCCAGTTCAGTTTTTAACTTTCAGACTATTTTAAAGCACCTCCACACACACAGAAAGACCACACTTTCTGTCTACTTAGCCTTTAATTTTCCTGTCTCAGCAATGGCTCCTGAGCGACCTCTTGTGATGAAACATTTGAGCACTTTCTCACTTCTTTTCCTCTTTTTAAAAAATAAATTAAATGAACAAAAGGCTAGCAGTGAAAAATGAAGAGTACCAAAAATCAGCACCACCTCTGTCATTGCAATGAATGGAACTTTTTAATCCATTCATGTAATCCCTAAAATTGGGTATTGAAGAATGTACCTCTGAAGCTAATAAGTGAGGTTCAAAAAAACTCCAGTGTGCAATGGCGACTATCATGCCACCCTTCACACCGTTTTTGGAAGGAGTGTTGGGAAAAATACATGTAATCACCTTCTTGGACCTTACTGCCACTCTATTAAAATAAGTAGAGTAAAAACACCACAAGATACTCAATAGTTTGATCAAAGGGATGAAATCAAAATACAATAAAGAAAACAGCATTTGTGACTTGTTGAAGAGGGCAAAAACAGATCACCAAGAAGACAAAATTAGTTTTATTGACCAACATCAGTATTGTGAGCCACTGGTAGATATGTCAAGGAGCTCAATACAATCTTTGGGGCAGATACCCCACAAGATGTCTGGTTTCAAATTGTCAGTGATCTCAATGAAGTAAGACTGCAAGTAGCTACTCTTTCTCAGCCTTAAAATACTAATTCTGTAGCCAGCTTTAGTTTTTCACAGTATCTACACAATGATATTTAAAAATGCATACATAAATAAAATCAAAGCATGTTAAACAAGTCCAGAAGAGGAAGAGAAATCTGCTGTCATTTCAGAAAAGTACAGTGCATTTTCGTACTCCCACTGCAAAGGAACTGAAGTGTGAATGTTGATTGATGGGGTAACTGATCAATTCTCAATGAATGTGACAAATACCAACAAACAGCATTATTTTAGAACAGAAACAGAATTACTGAGGGATCTGGCCACGAGATGTCACTCTCTACTTTGTGGCAACTTGGAAGTTTATTAGCACAGCCTCCCTCTCGGAGGTGTAAAAAGCTGGGGTACAGCCAATGAAATATATATATTATGTTAAATTTGTGTCAGGTTAAGGGGAACTGCTCAACATGTCATTTCTGTAGCTGTGATATAGAATTACCATTCAGTATGCAGTGAAGTCAAAGTAACCACCAAGTAACCCCTGCATTCATCCTCCCAAGTTTAAACAAGAGCAAGTAGCTCAACTAAATATTGTTGTTATAACATGTTCTTACACCAATGACACAAACTGTTTTGAACTTTCCAGCCTTCTAAAATAAAATCATTATTATGTACTGAGCTCTTATGATTCAGAATACAGCAAGCTGCCTGTATGAACTATAGCTTCTATCCAGGTAGGCAGTCTAAAATAATAAGTTTTGCAAGTTTTTTCAGGTGGCTTTGGTTAATACTTTGTCAGGTCCTGTGGTCTAGTAAGGTCTCACTTCTTGTTTTGCAAAACATCACCACCATCTTTATTAACCACTAGCATGTAAAATAATTTTTATACTTCATATATCTAACCAGGCATCTGTTGCAAGAGACCAAAAACACCTGAGCCTGAGTTTTAGGAGTTTAACATCAAAATCTGTAGCCATTATAAATATACACCTATGAAAGAAGAAAGTAAGTGGAAGACCAAAACAAAGCTATGATGAAATAAAAATTTTAGAAATGAAAGATTTTGTGCAAGTACTACATGAACTGCATGGATTCATCAGAACCTGATTCTTAACATAGCTGACAGAAAAAACCTCATTATTACCTTATTATGTGTTAATGTTATCCTCAGGTCTGGTTTTATGATACCATATGCTGTCAGTAGATCTTGGACTTTTTTCAGTTCTTCCTTACATTTTCTGTTTGTTGAGTAAAACTGCTTTCTTACAGGAAGATTCTTAAACAAATTTAGGACTGTTACTGTAGTACCTGCAAGAAGGTGATAAAAAATAAAGTAGAAATTTACACTGAAAGCTAATCACTGACTGGATATTGAGGAAACTATTTTTACTTAAACAGACATGTTTGCATGCTGCTGCACTAAATCAGGTTATTAGCATGAGAAGAAATGCACCAAATTAGCAGTCATCCCCCCACAAAAGGTATCTCAAGACTTTTGATTCTTTCTCCTTTATTTAGAGTTGTGACTGCAGTATTAAGCTTTCTTTCATACACACTAACAATAGCAAGAATCAGCAGTAAACAAAGCTGAAGACTCTCTCAATGCATAAGTTAGCCTCCATTAGCAAAATGATTAATTAACAGACTAGAATCTAATCACACATATCTGGAGGCAAAGGAACGCTGTGCTTCATTAAGGGCCTTCACAAACATTTGCTTTAGAGTAGTACCTGAAGCTCCAAATACCTCTGATCAAGGTACAGTACACAGTAGGATGAGGAATATTCATCTACCAACACAACCACGTAAATTCCTAGCCCATAAGGATATTGCAAAGCATTAAATACGTGAGAGAATTCAACAATTTCAATGAAAGAAAAGGCATTAAAACCTGCAGGCTTTCCAGCTGTGGAAAACACTCTATAGGCTAAATCTTAAAATGAATCCTTAGTAAAAATTAGGTAGACACCCTACCTGCAGGTTAGAAAGAACTGTGACTCTGCCTGGTCCTACAGTCATGCTGCTTCCAGCAATTCCTATGTATGGCAGCAGGGCATACATAGGAATTTATTCTTCCTCCTTTAAGCAAGGATTTTGCTACATCCAGAAACTTTACTTTGGTCCCGAAGAGATTTTTCATATACTTACACAAACTTGGAGAATTTAATTTTTACGGGTTTTATTTCCACTGTCAGCTTGAAGAAGTGAGTCAGAGAAGGAGAAACTAGTTTATAATTACAATCTAGAACAACTTCCAAGACTTATAATTTCTTATGCTATGACAACACATTCTCAGCTGACAGACACAAGGCAAGAAACGTTTACAGCTGCAAAGATTTCATACTCAGCCTCTAAGTACCCAACAGGTATTTCAACATCAGATAGAGCCTCAGAGAAACACAAAATACATCTGTCACCTTGCAACACCAGAACAGTGATAGCCTACCTTGCCCAAGATGGGAAGGCTTTTGAGAGGTTACATGTCCATTGCTATCCAAAGCATACTGAATGCTGAAATCATCAGCAGCTGTCTTTGTTGTGACCAAAACCTGAAGAGAGTGATTTTAAAAAAACCTATGTTAATCAGGGATAGACAAAGTTCAGTATGAGCTTAGATAAGCTTTGCTACCACACTCACCACACCACTGTATTACTTTAGTCACCATAATTACATTTAATTAGTTTATAAAATTTTTCTTGAACAGGTATTTCTTACAGGCACAGAAACACTCAGCATTATTCTGCATGTTTCCTGCCATTTAGCTAAAAGTATTTCTATCACATTGATTCACAAAGCACAACAATTCCTACTACCTACAACACACAGTACTCTATTTTCTATTCTAGCACAGATTAAATAAACTTTATTAATTGACAGTTCTGCATTTTTACCATCTGTGAGACAAACACGCTGTGACAACTTAAACTCATGTGAGATTCCACAAACTTAAAGACTACTCTCAAACAAACAATATATTATCTTTCCACACCTAAACATATCTGGCAATCAGTTATAGCAAGTTTTGCAAGCTATTAAGGTAATTCACAGATTGATTTAGCAAGAGCAGTCATAAATCAGAGTTCAGTTACCAGCACTGTGAATAACAGAACCATTGCCCTTTAACCGCCTGGAAGGTAAAGTTTAACACACACAGAGTTTCAGGATATTTTGGTTTATTTTAGCATCTCACATGAATCATTCAGCATTCAGTCATGCCACTGGAGAGAAAAACAATAATTGATTAACCGGGAATTACAGTATTACAGACATACTTAAGGGCCAACAGCAAAGTATCTTCAAACTGAAATTTCAGGGGGCTGTTTGGGTAGGCAGAACACAATTAATGCCAGGAGTGTTAATTAACATAATTACTGATACAAGGAGTAGTACTTATTAAAGCACTTTATACACTCAGGCCACCTCCCATCTCTTATGAAACGTTCCATAGAGCTGATTAGAAGCTCTGAACAGATGGCATTCTGCTCCAAGAGCTCATTAGAATGAACCAATGATTGAGGTCTATCATCATCTATCAAAACACCAACACTTTTGAAAGCATCTTTGGAAATCTCCATCCAAATACACAACCCACTCCTGCTTACTGCAATGTGAATGCAGCCCAAGGTACCAAGGAGTGAAGCTGTAACATCATCTCTCCTGACCTCAGCAGCTGATGGTTCCAACCAGACACAGGCATGGGTATCTTCCTGCATGATCTAATAATCCTTAGCAGACCTGCACCCAGAACTTGACCTTGGTGCAGCATGAATTCAGAAAGGGCGAGCACAAGAGATCTGGCAGATGCTGTGCCTTTAGCAGCCTGAACACTTTTCAGATGGTTTTGAACAAACATATTTACTTTTAGCCAACAAGTTAAGTCTCAAATGCCAGTACACTGCCAATCCTCTTAATACAAACATATGGCCCAGACTCAGATAGGTCAGGCAGCAGGTTCCTGTTTCCTCATAGGGACAAAGTTTGTGCAATTGCAGTCACATACATGTCAAAGAGCAATAAGGAGCTCAGCAAGATCCCATATCTGCTGATCACCTAGATAACAAGGCAGAAATAATTTCTGAAATGGTGGTTATGTAGGCCAGCAGTTCCCCAAAATTACTTCTCCTGGCCATCACCTGCTGCCCCTCTCTTGATTTACCCTAATTCAAGCAGCCATACTTTTTGACATGATACTCCTGGACACAAAAGGAAAGAGAATACAACACAATCCACCTGTTACCTGTTCTGACTGAGCAAAATAAACAGAGGCCGGCTGTGACCTGTGCGACAGAAAGGCAGGACTGACACAAACAAGAAATCCGCATGACACGGCTTCTGGGGTTGGGGAGAAAAGCAGCATACACAAGCATATCCCTGGCAAGTTGCTGAAACATTTAAACTCTTTGCACAGAATAAAACTTTCATGATCACATACAGACAAGAAAAAATTGTAACACAAAGGCTCCACATTTATTTCAAGTGCTCACTTCTGATATGCTGCAAATCGAGCCCAAAGCTTCCCCGCGGAAACCATATGTTGTCAGCCTTTCAAGGTCCTCAGAAGAGCTGATTTTTGAGGTGTAGTGTTTAATTGCCATAACTGGAACATCATCAACCTTAATTCCACTGCCATTGTCTCTTACTTCTATTTTGCTAAACCCATAATTCTCCTAAAAAAAGAACAAAACACAAAGGAGCAGTAAAACAACCACATTAATTAAGATGTAATTTTGAAGCAGCTAAGATTACAGCTTCTAACTATCCATACAAAAGTGGAAACTTTGCCTGTTTGGAGCAACTGAGCAACCATTAAATGTCACTGTTTTAGGAAAAAAGAAGAAAATTAAAAATACACCATGTTAAGATAACAGTGATGGTTTCTCAAATTAAATAACATAATTCATCTCCTGTGATTTGGAAACAGCAAAACCTAAGCTCAAAAGGAGACCTATAGATGGAAAGCTGAAGATTTTTCACCTCTTTTCCTCTCTTACCTATTTGGTATCAATTTTTTTGAAGTCACTGGAATGCAGCTCTGCATCCATTAATTTAGTGGACCCTCACTTCACACCATTTTCAGTTTCAATTTTGATTGATGTGATTCCATTACATTTTCTAAGTTCTGTTTTCCAAGCTCAGTACACAGAAGATGAAATTCTAATGTGGAGTAAGGCATGAATTCTAAGGGTAATAAGAAAGCTTATAAAGAGATACAGTATTTTACAAAAAGAAGTAAAGGTTTCCAGAGGCTCTTTTAAAACAGCCTTCAGGGAAGCAAAGTTCAATCTTTGTGATTTACCTTTACATACATACAATGGATATTTTACTGAATTCCAATTTAAATATGTCATTCCAGTAAGCACCAGCATAAATAGGGTAAAACTCTGAAACCTAGATATTTACAATAGCTAAATAAAAGATGAAATTTAGGTTCTGTAACATCTCAAACAAATGCAGGAAAAAATTATTCTTTCCAGCTACATTATAGTCTGCACTAGTGAGCAGCACCCAGAGGAACTACAAAGCAGGAGGAGAAAGTAATCAGAGCTGCAGGATCACTAACTAAGCTTCTTTCACAGAAGCAAGATGGCTCTTTGAAAAGATTATGATGCAACACACAAAAAAATGTGCTGTAGTGTGTCCCCGTCTAGGGGACTTTAAAACTAGTTTTGCTTAGAAAGAATATATTAAAACACTGGCTGCCACCACTGATGCTGGACAGAGCATGTGATGGCTGACAACTGAAGGCAGGTTGATTAAACAGAACAAACTTTGCTGTCCCACCTGGGCCTATTCTGAAAACAGTTATGAGAAAATATAATGTACTCACAGGGTTATTTCTTGAAGTAAAAAAAATGATGTAATCAAAAACAAAAGGTATCTGAAGAAACCATCTGCAATCACACATAATCTGATTTAGGAAACATCAAAAGACTCTAAAATAGGCTCAGAACCACAATACACAAAAAACAACAGAAATACGGGTACATTTCACTTTCTGTTGTAATGAATGGTGCAAAAGCTGTCTTCAGGCGAAAAAACAATGCTTTTGCTCATGTTTGAGTCAGGCTCCTACTGGGCAGTAAAACCAAACAAAGCAATACACCTCAACTGAGCATAAAAGGCATATATATATATATATATATATATATATATATATATATACTGCTGCTTTATGTGCTAATGAAAGGTTTGAGAATTTTAAAATGAGCCCCTATTTTCCATCCTAGTTTTTACTTTCTGACCAGTTAGTTGCTTAAGAAAAGTGAAATTTATCCTGAATCAAAATGTTACATAAATGATTCACTATTTCTCTTCTACACTTATTCATTTTTACTTGTGCATGTTTTATAGAAATATTACAATGCTTAAACTTTGTATTTTGTAACAGCTTCCTCCATGAGCTGAATCTTACTGAGGTTATGAACCCATGAAATGTTTTAGTTGCTCTGCCAGGTCACTGATGCCAATCAGTATGAATCAGTTTTGAAACACAATGCAAAGATGCCAAATAACATCACCTATGGTCAATCAAGACTGACACACCAGCCAAAGCTTCCCGCTACAGTTCACCACTGCCATGACTCTGAGACCCATTCCATCTTCAGGTTAATTCCTGTCTGTCTGTCAAAAAGGAATTGTTATCTTTGTTCAGTCAAATTGGATAAACTATGCCTTCCTATTCCATCTGAAAAAGATTAAAACAATAAAAATGCTGCAGTTTCAGGCAAAACTCATCAAGCTGTAAAATGGAACTTCAAAGTTTCTCTTCTCTGTTACACTTTTGAACTAATCCAGAATTAATATGGTCATTGACCTCTATTACATGGTAAGAGTTATTTTAATTTCCATTAAAAATCCCAGAAAAAAATCCATTGCTTTAGAGTTATACAGAGTGTAGGCATTTTCTTCTCCTCTATTACCCACAGAAGAACAACCACCAAATTTCTGTCAATCGCTGACAACTTGCGTAAAGCCAGGTTTGTTTGTTTGGAACTACAGTGTTTTGGATTGGGCTGGACTGACACAGGAATGTAAGAGTAGTGTAGATGACTCATGCACTGAAAAAGGTCAAAAATGCTCTTTTTAATTGATCTGGGACAAAGCTGGTTACTGTGCTGTGAAACCCACAGTAGTTAGAAGACTCTCTCCTCGGCAAGGTTTGTTCCAACCATTCTGGAACACTCCAAAACCCTTCTGTTCACTTCTTGCAGTTACTGATCAGCTCCCAGGACCTGATCCTAACACCCTTTACCCCCACAACTGTGTACACACTACTCACTTGGGAGTTACTCAAGAAGCAAGATGCTCTGCAATCTAAATATTGAGAAGACAGAGATTATGAGAGACCACAGCAAAGACAGAACATCTTCAGGTCACTCAAAGCAGTAACAAACATGTTCCTTGGTGTCTACAGGAAAGCATTCTCAGATTGAACAACTCTAGGCTCATTCAGAAAATAGAGCAGACATGGTCAAAGAAACAAGGAGAAACTGAATTGCCCTCCTAGTTAAAAGCATTTGTCTAATTCAATTAGACAAGAGTATTTGTCTTAATTCAAGAATATCCCACACATTCACTGTTATTTGGAGAAAGGGAATTGGATCAATTCTGAATACATACATTTCTACAGGATATAGTAACACTTCTTTCTTACTAAGCAGGGGATACTGCTACTATACAGCTGCTGACAAAATACTGCAAAAGCAGAAATAGGATATCAAGAGAAGCTGACCAGCTACCCATTTTATCCAATTTGTTGAGGGAAAAAACGCTTAAATTCTTTATTAAAAGTGGTATTTTCTATTGTCAGAAACTATCATTGAATGACATATCAACTTTTTTGAACAGCTTATAAAGAGTTAGAAGCAGCCAGAGTTCACCATGTAATTAGAGACAGGGTGGTGATTTGTATTACAAAACCATAACAAAAACATTTATGTTATAGCTTTTGTTTTGAATGGCCACTAAGCTTTTCCATAGTCTCCATTTTCACCTTTCTTACAATCCCTTGTAATGAGAATATGTCAGCCTGACAGCAAACATAAGTCCACCATCTTTTAAAACTGGCTATTACTCAGAAAACATAAATTTTAAGTAGGAAAAGGGGGATTAAGAAAGCTGACAATTTTTTCCCCATGATACACTCAAAAGCACAAATACGCCTTACTGTTTCACAGCAGGGCCTCAGAAACACAAATGGAAACTAATTTTGTACCATTTTTACTCGAGGTAAAAATACATGCATATAAATATATAATAATCATCACCATTCCCCAAACCATAATAGCCTAAAAAAACACATTTGCAATAGAACAATTTTCTTTTCTTCTTAGTCTATATCAAATTCCTTCTGAGACAAAGACTTACCAGTTTAATATCAATGCCTGTAGCACTGGCATCCAAGGAATTTTCTATCAGCTCCTTTACCACACTGACAACTGAAGTAATCACCTGAGAACTTGAAAGGAGCCGAATTGTCTCTCCAGGCAGCTGTTTCATGGTGGAAAGATTCAGGGAAGCTGCACAGAAAAATAACAGAAAAAGAATGTAAAAGGAACACTACAATTACACATTTTTAAGAAACTGTTTCACAGGAACTTTGAAACGTAGAAAAACACAACATTATGGCTAGAAAGTGAAATTTCCAAGTTACAGTAAGACCCAGCTTCCTCTGCAGTCAATAAGTGTTGAGAGAGAAATGGGGAGGCAACACACTGGTGCTGATGAAAAGCCATATTCAATGGCAATGGGACCTACTGGCAAAAATGAAAACCAAACAGTTCTCTATTACAGTCTTGCCTCTCTGATCTGATGTACTGTGTGCCCTCAGGCAGGTAATTTTGTTTCTATGTCACTCTATCTCCCACTTGAAAATGAAGATGCCTTATAAACCAGTCGAGATTCCTTTTTAATTTTTGGAAATACAAAAGATTATAAAAGTCTTGCTATATTATAGAGACACTCTCCCATTAAGAGATTGTATATGGATCTGTGAATTTTAGCATGCATTTCTGTTTAAGTACCTACACTGACACAAACAGTCAAGGCCCAGAAAAACTATTCTGCTGATCCTTGTAGCCTGCCATGAAAGAATTCAACCAGAGTTTTATATCCATATGAGAGAGGCAGAGGAATGGGTCAGACAGGCTTCTTCTCTTCTCCAGTTTATGTTATATAATGCTATTTACACTGAAAGGCAAAGAATCCTGGCAGTGCTGGCTTTCCCATTGATCCAGTCCAAGGTATCTGCTGACTTTCCCACTGATTCAGTCCAAGGTATCTGCTGGAGAACACAGACTGCACACTCAGCACCTGTCCCAAGGATATGAGCACACATGGAGGAATGGAACAAACACAGATTTCCTCCTGACACAGCCAGGTCCTGCTGAGGGATTGCAGTCAACACCCTTAAGCATCACAGCCCTGCAGGGTGTATGCAGCTGATACAACAATTACAGGACGTTTCTCTGCCTCAACATCCTTCTAAAGACAGCTACTCTTGAAACATAAAAGACAAAGTAAAAATGTGGTTACTTGGGTGGGGGGGAGAGGAAGTACAGTGTTATGCAGTACAAGCAGCACTGAAACTTTTCTAGGAACAGCTACAAAGGGATTTTATCTTTATTTTTGTTATTTACATTGCAAAGGGAGTTTGCCTTTCAAACGTGGTAAAAGGATCCAATGAATTGTTTTTCCACCAACTGGAAAACAAGAGGAGCAGGAGAAAAGGTGTGCTGCTGAAGATGAACCGATGTTAATATCATGTGCACGTGTTCAGAGGCAGGCTTTGAGGCATTCATGCACTGTATGGACTCCTGCGTCAAATGCTTCATGATTCACTCATGGGAGTAAATCAGATGGGAGCTGGACGTCTCTCCATCAAAAGACACTAACTAAGATACGGGAGAATCTTAAAACAGAAACGCCGCAGACCTGAAAGACAAATTTTCTATGAGGTGTGACTGATGCCAGCAGTTTGGGGGAGGAATCGGCCCCCGGCCGTGTGTGGTGTCCCCTGCCTTGGACCCCAGCTGAGGGACACAACGCTGGCCAAATCCCGGGAATACCTGTTGGGAGGTAGAGAGGGACCTCTGGGACCTCCTACCCCTGACAAAGCATCCAACCTATGATACCTGTTAGCTAAAAGACACGTATCTCAGCTCAAGCCACCTTACTACTCTAACGCTTCACGGAGTTACAGCTGTGCTCAGTGGGAAAACACAGCATTTTCTGCGTGGGAGCCCCATCGCTGATCTAATCCTTGGATCCCTCAACAGACATCTCCGACATGCCAACAACTGCGGTCCAAGGCATCCTCAGCTACACGGGGAATAAAACCCCCCTAAATTTCACAGTTCGGCCCCACAGCCGCCTGGAGCCACACCAAGAACCCCGCCCCGCGTCCGAGCACCGCCTTCCTCAGGGGCCCTCCCTCAGCACGCACTGAGGCTTTTCTGCGGGTTACCAGGCGAAAAAACGGGCGCAAAACCGCAGATAAGCCCTGCGGGCCCTCCAGTTTACCCAAAGCACAGAGCCGTCCGCGGTCCCCGGTTCTCGCTGGG